GGCCTGAGGTGTGGTCCCTTTAGGATTTATAAAGAAAAAGTTTTGCTTACTTATCTGATACACGTAAGTCAGTCCTAACCACTCTCCTCCACTACTGTAGTGGACCTTACACTGGCAGATATCCTACCAGCAGGTATTCAATTAGAAATTTTTATTGAAATTTAAGGTGAGTAAATAATTTTTTGCTGCAAACTTATATCTATTAAAATATGATCATGAAAATGTGTCGGTCACTAATGGACAAATTTGCAAACGGTATTAAGGGTCAGGCCCAATATTAGCATGAATTGCCTCAATATCAATAAAACATATTTTTTAAAAAAGAAATAATTCAAGTGACCTAAATACATATATATTTTCGTTCTGTTATTAACCACATGGGCATCCACATTAGGATTGTTAGGATTTCTTCCTCCATATGTTTGTAGCACATGCAGGAAGAAATAAGGCAAAAGAAATTTTCCTAAGAAAACTGCTCACAAGGAAAGGAACAAAGCCAAGACCATCACTCAGAAAGTGGGCAGTACTTCTTGCTGTGGACGGGCCAAAGGGAGGACCAGTGTGTGCCTGCATCACAATTATTCAAGTCCACACTTTATCCCAAGGAGCTTAGCTTGCGCTCCAGTTGGCAGAATATAAACAGATACTCTGTTGAGTGACTCTAATGATTTTGATGTGACACTATTCTGGAGAATATCTAATTGACATTTATACTTTATCAATCTTTTTCTCATGTGCATTCACGCACACTCACATATATAGTCTTAGAGACAATTCTGAAAGGAAGGAAAAGAGGTACTCGTAGCTCACGTTCTACTATAAGTGCATAACAGCCAACCCAATGGAAAGCCATGTGTCCCTGAGTGCACACAAGGTACGAGATGTTCAAAGAGTGTCATCATCAGCTCTGGTTATCTCTTTTTTGAATGTTGACCTTAACACGCTTTTCCAGTTCCAGTAACTTCTGGTAAAATTTTTCAGCAGTGCCTTCATCTAGGTCCATCTGGAAAAGAAGTAAAAACAGGGACGACTAGAAAGGAAAAATCAGGTGAATAGTATTTGTATAAAAGAAAGGCATTCGACGTATGTAAGAAGACTGAAAAAATAAATAAATAAAAAATAGAAGAGAAAGGAGCCTGTAGGAGAGGACCATGGTGGCAGCCACATAAGGGCTGTTAGGAAACGCTGAGAGCCTGAGGATACGCTAACTTTTAGTTCAACTCACTAAACCTACTAAAGCTTCCCTTAAATAGGAACAGTGAAAAATCTTTTTGCTATCTTCCCTAATTCCTGTGTATCCAGGAACAGAAGACACCAACCAACTGTGACATAAAAAGACAAAAGAGAAAAGTCAAGAGTTTTGTGAATTTCTCACAGCTAATCACCACCTAATATCCATACTTAGTAAAAGAGCCCTGTTTTTAGCTACGTTCACTGCCCTCTTGATAAAAGACTACATTCCCAGCCTTCACTGAAGCTATGGGTGCCATGTGACTATGTTCTGGCCAGTGAAATGTAAGTACTAGCCAGAGTATCTAGAGAATAAAAGGGAATAAGGCATCCCTTTTTTCTCCCTTCGTCCATACTGCTTTCTTGAGCCATAAGGATGAGGGCCACACCCTAAGGACAATGGGGGCCATGACTGCAAGGAACCTGAGTGCCTGACTGGAGATCTGCCGTGACAGTCTGAGGCTGCCTCTCTCCTAACTGTTTTTACATGTAAGAAATCTAAGATTCTATCTTATTTAATCCAGTGTTATTTTTTTTTTTTTT